TCTGTTTAGAACAGCGTGATGTTGCAAAGAGTGAACTACCTTTGGCAAAATTTATCAGCCTTTGCAAACAAAGCAAATGGCCTCGATCTTGGTTCCACTTGCCTCTTACCCGTGACTTCAGTGGAAATGTCAGATTCAGGATCTGACACAGACTAATTCATGTTCCACAAAGTTCTTACAAGTTCATAGACATTTCTGTTCAAATAGAACCAAATATTTGAGTTGATGATTGTATCTTTTTTTTTACAGTTGTTGTAATTTGTGTTTTAACAATTTTTTAAGTCAATCAAAAAATTATCCTTTTTTTCAGGCTACTTAAATTTATTTTGGGCTACCAAAAACTGAAGAGTGTCTGCCCGAAGGGCTACCAGAGATTTTGAAATTTTGCGAGCCCTGAATCTAGCTCATTTAACTCATCAATCTCACAGAAGCCCAGGTGTCCTATTTCCCCAGCATTTAAGTGCATCGTGCATTAATGAATCTGTGTGGAGCTGATGGCATGAAAATGGTAAACTGTGGACACATTTAATAACCTGAAATGAAGAAAATGATCACAAATATTTTTAGGCATTAATGACATTAATTCAATCTGAGTTTTAGTCCAGAGATCAGGCGTTACATTATATTTGCCACCACTTTGAGTCCCGTCGGGTCTTTATTGAAGTGAAACCCAGACACTTGTAAATGCGACAGAGGAGAATTAATCTCTTCCCCAGATGTCCCGGACAGTTTTCATGGAGTCTGTCCAGCTGTGATAAATCTAGAGGCAGAGTCCATGTTTCCGTTTCCATTAGAGCCGTTTGGCTCAACACGTGGTGCTGTCTAATTTTAAAGTGAACCCTTCTTTGCCAGGCTGCCAAAAGGAAAACACTCCTCATTCTCACTGTCTCAGGAGCTACCTGTGCATGTTCATATCTGATGGATGAAAAGACAAAAATTGTTAACTGATCGTTTGGCAGCTCTATGGGGAGTACCAAGAAAACCAAGGAGGCTCCGGCAGACGGGAGGCCACACGCCTGCTGACCGAGAGGCAGATCAAGAAACATGGGACCCACCACCGCAGCCACGCCAGGACACGGCACGGACACGGGCGCCGTGGCCAAAACGGATACCACAGCCGCCATCAATACAGCTACTACAGCAGGCAACGGAACAGGCGTCAGTCCAATATGGAGACCGACGCTGCCGAGGAGCAAACGGCTGAGCCCGACCTCGCGTCCTCTGTGAAGAAGGAGCGCTCCTACTCCAAGTGTAGAGGTGAGATGAGGCAAAAGTGAGGACAG